GCCAGGGATGTGCTGTAGGCTAGCCCCGAGCCCTTTCTCTGGTCAGCTTCTTTCTTCTTTCCAATATGAGGCCTTATTCAAATAAACTGGGATGACAGTAAAGTATAAGTATTCTCATCTGGTGTTGTCAAAGGTGATGACCCGGTTGAATCCCCTACAGCTCTTCACTTAACCACCTAACAACCTCACCAGGCATTGTGGATACTCGGAACCAGTAAACATCGCTTTTATGGGAAAACTGTAAGTTAGTCAACTTCCGAGAGAATCCGTAATCTTATAAATGATCTCAGACCTATACGGTTTTCACCAAGATTGAGAGTCGATGATTTTACGAAATCTCAGATCATTGGTGGCTTGATTCGGGGAAGTTGGAAATAGCATTTGGCAATGTTTCTTAGATGGCGTGGATTGGTCACAATTTGTGGCCGTCGTACCTGTATTGGGTCATAATTGGTTACTGACCGGAGAGTCCGTGTTTCGAACCCAACTTTAGAACCTCCACTGCTCCCTTCTTGGTATGGGCAATCTGGCAGTAACTCAACCCTAGTGCTTCCTTTCTTTGCATGGTAGCTATGGACCGCTATGAACATCAGAACGATTATTGTATTTTGCTATTAGCTATTCTATCTGTCACGATGAGCATTAAGGTGTCTGTGACCTTCGAAAGCGACTGAGTCACCGTTTTCTGCGTTATTTCTGCCACATTTTGAGCGGGGCGAAATCATCAATTCCTTTCTCCTTCATATGCAGAGCCGTAGTTTTGGCGCTGGCGAAGTCCAGGTAGGTGGTGGAGGATCGTCCTTATCAGTATGTGCCGAAGAGTGCGTTTCACTAGCTGTGCGAGCGAAAAACTGCAGAGTAGAGATGCTACCATGGCGCAGACATCGAATTGCACGGCTAGATCAACTTCAGTCACATTTCCGAAGTGTTGCACAGCGCAGTTTTTCCTCTATAGTTGGTCGCCTTCATGTACTTTTGCGTCCGTTCACCATGAATCCATCGGTGTTATCTGCTCGTTGCTGGCTTAAAGCCTTCCTCCAAGTGCCAGATTTCGAGCAGAACGCAACAGATGTCAGTGAGGCATGTGAATGAGAAACGTCGAGCGGAGATCCACGCTGTTTTACCGGTCACTATCTCTTGAGAACCTCAAATTTACAATTTTACTTTTCATCGAGCTTGGAACGGTGTACGCCGTCCATGTAGACGAAATTGTGGGAAATGATCCCGCGTCTCGTCAAGTTGTGGGTTTTGTTTTGTGAGCTAAGCCACTCATTCAGTCCAAAAGCAAAAGAATGGGAGCGGAATGGACCGGTCATTTGCGTGCAAATACACGGGCTGTAGTATGCACGCTATGGAAGCACCAGGGGACAGTGATTCTTCGAAGGCAGGTGTTGACGACAATTTCTGTGGATCGAAAACAGAAACAAAGCTCATGAGCCAAAGCCCAGTAAGCAAGGTTGTACATCACCAATACTTACATATGAATCAATTAAAACGACAGACACCGTAACTACACGGGCAAAAGACGAACACCGAATTCGAAATCCCCTCAGACGCTGTCACGTAAGATTGAGTTATTTAAACAACGTGAACCTCATATTGGCAATGGGCAATGGATGTCCTGGTTGCCCGATGTTCTACTAAACCGCAAGGTGGATACTCGGGACCTGAACCAGAATTGAGTGGCTTAGATACTGTGTCAGGTTCTCATACAGGATGCTGTGAAACCTCGTCTGCGCGGTACGTTCGAAATCGGTTTCGCTTGCCCTCGTGCAAATTTGTGAAAGAATTTTTTCGTTGTTCAATCTGTTTACAGAATACACACAAGTAATTGTTAAATTTTATTACCCTAACAAAACATCTGAGAGACAACCCTTGATATTGCGTACACACTTCCTATTTTACATCTCGTCCTAAACATGCCATTAATTTATACCGATAGTCCTCTGCAGCCATTAATAGACCACAAGAGATGTGAGCGGACTGGCTGCCCGTCGAACGTCAAACGCGGGATGCAATGCCACACGTGCAAGGCCTGATGGCACTTCAAATGCACGGGTTTACAGGATGACCAGATAAGCCGACTAGCTAACTATCCTGACCCGTTTTTCTGCGCCAGCTGCCTCTACG